TAAATAACGTAAGCAATGAAAGACGTATGACCTATAACGCCACAGCACAACACACTGCACAAACTATATAACAGACTCTCCTGAACCGAAATCCAAAAGTAATGTAAGGACAAGATTTCTACGGTTCGCTCCAGAAGCTGCAATACTTTAATAGGCTACAGCCTCTGACATGCATGGTGAAGAGAAAGGGTCTCAAATTAAATCTGCAGCCGGATCCACCTTCCGTAAAATCAACATGCCGTTTTCAATTTCGGCAGAGCAAATTACTACATTTCTCCAGTTGTTGCTGCAAGATGAGTGTGTAATGAAACTGCAGTGATATGAACAGCAATTAATTAAAAGGAGAAGCCAGGTTTGTCAAGGGTAATGATACATGGCAGGTCCTGAGCAGCAGCGGATTCACCCAAAGGGAAGAGAATCCCAGTCAGGCCCATTTGAAAACAACAGCCATGCTGAAGCTATCTGGGAGTTAAGCAGTGCTCTGCTTCACTGCATCGCAAACATCAACGTGTAATCAGTAAGGAACACTAACGGAAAGAAAATGACTAGACAAGAAAACAGGAAAAAGTCATATCAAAACTCCATACTTGTAACTGTTTGCAAATCAACCAAAAATGAAGGTCAATTGAGCAACTTATATAGAAGGGTCTTTGCTCACAGCACCACTGCATGTTCTGCTTTGCTCAGTGCAGAAATTGTACGTGAGTTTGTCTTTTGTTTTTTTCTTGTAAATGCATGTAAGGAAAAGCACATCCAAGATGGCGCCAGCCCATCGCACGGCTCACTCACACACCTACGGGCGATTTACTAATGCCAGTTAACCTCAGCACATATTTGGACTGCAGGGAGATACCAGAGTACTTGGAGAAAACCCCATGACGTCACGGGGAGAACATGCAACCTCCACACACGGGGCACCATGGCAGAGACTCGAACCCTGATCGCTGAGGTGTGTGGCAACAGTGCTGACCACTGCACCACCATATGCCTCCCCAAGTCCCACGATTATTGGTTGGTAATTTGAATACGGGTAGCAGATTTGGATCTGGATTGGCCAGAGAAGTTACTTATCTTTTGCTGTCATGGAAAACTGCCCCATCCTGTAAGAAGCTCCTCACACACCATCTTTAAATGTAAACACACTTGCTGGGGAGGGTGTTTTGGGGATATAAAGGGGGGGGGGTGATAAAGAACTGCCTTAATTTGTATTTGAGCTTCCTTTCAATACCCGGTGTATGTCTGCACTGTATTACATTATATTATTTTGCTTTTCATCATCTTTTTGCTAAAACAAGACACTGCAAGTGGATTCCTTACATGCATATACAGTACATATGAATGCCAGTGTGATCCAGACTGGCTACATAAATCACTGCGCATGCAGACAGCACCAGTGCTGTGAGATCTTACCCTTTCCAGTCTCATCAGTATCTTAATCAAGCACCATTACCATCAGTGGGATAATCATCACATTGGTTCTATTTTTATATTAATTTTTATTCACATCATACGATGCAGAGGAACCTGCTTTAATGCCGTTCTTTATTGCGCAAACTTATGCGAGGGAGAAAACAGAGTTTTCGGCAAGAAAAAAAAAAAATCACAGAAACTCATGGACTTCGGCAAGATCCATCTGTGTGGACCAGTCACTCTGCATGTCCAAGTTCAGAAACATGCGGCAGGATCTGAGTCACACAACAGATTGCCCCGTGACCCTTGACCTTTATGGTATTTTCCACATGGGTGATATTTTCTGAGTCAGACCCATGAGATACCAACCAGAATGTCTATCTCTGTCAAACATACCCCCCCCACACACACACACAGACAAACACTTCATGTTTCACTTAATGATCCTACAAGATTATTTAGAAAATTCAGTGCAACCTTGAAACAAATATGATATTGCCAGGATAATGAAAAATGAAACCCAGATTGCCATCTGCTTTGCAGCTGTGTCTGACACCTTAGATGTTAGTCTATTTAGTGTCCATATTTAGGTTCAGAGTTCAGATTTTAACATCAAGAAATTAAATTACTTTTCATCATGCAATAAGATGATACCCACAGAGGTGAATTGCGAGTGTCTGCTTTGTGACAGGTGTAAGCTAATTTAAGTTGTGATTAATACTCTACACCTATTCGATTAAAAGCTATGAGGTCACTGAGTATGTAAACTGGACTCTCTGCTGTACCAGCCTTGCTTAGCAGCTGCGGAGTGCAGGGTGCATGTAGAGGAAGCGTTCCATCATCTGATGGGCCACCCTGCACTGTGCCGCACACAGAAAAAAATCTTGTTACAAATGGCAAAGGTGCTATTTCGGCTTTCCTCGACCTCTCCTGACTCCAAGACCTCCTTTCTGAGGCTGTCTTGTGTACTGCGTGACCTCGACAGCGATTCCTCGCAGAGTCATAGGTGAAATCCCACGTGTCTAGCAGCATCTTCGATAAATACTTGCTTTGTTTCCCCGGAGCCTCGATAAAAGTCTATTAACAACCCAATGGAGCTTCTTTATTAATTTTACGAATTATGCATACCAAGATCTGTATTCCAGACTGTTTGACAAACTATGGCTAAGTATCCTTCGCTGATACAGATTCCATAGGGTGAACGTAAGGAAAGTTACCATAGCTACTCAAGGTGAACTTACACTAATGTTCCGCAATTAATGCCGCATCGCCGTGACATCACAAATGACTACCAAAACGTACATTTATATAAACAGCAATCAGTAAGTGTTGATTATCTCATCAGACACGACAGTCTAGCAAAGTAGAAACTATATTTCAGCACATTTCAAGGCAGTGTGAAAAATGAAAAAGCTGACCCTGTAAGGTACACAGATCAGAAAATTATAAAGTAAGACCGGACATGAACACAAACATAACATAGCACTGGAATATTGCATTGGGTAACGGTGGCGCAGCGGGTAACGCTGTGGCCTCTCGTCTCTGAGACTGTCGCACTACGAGTGCTTCTGTGTAAACCAGTTTAAAGTAGGTAGACTGGTGTCTCTGAATTGCCCACAGTGTGTGACTTCGGAGGGCAGGTGTGTGCTGTCCGGGGTGTACCCACACCTGTCTGAGATGACCCTGCATTCATGGAAAATTAATGGATGGGCGAGTGAATGTGTCTAATCAGTGAATTTCGTCACTGTCACAGTGTCCCGTAAGATTCATCATTAGTGAAAATAGCACCCACAAGCCCTCCATTGGCTGCATGAATAAAATCAACTTGCCTTTCTGTCTCAGGCCTGAAATATGGAATCACAACTAACCCAAGGCCTCTGACAGACTGCGGTCATATGAGGTTCAGTCATGAAATCTGTGAAGACATTTGTGTCCTATACTAGCTTGACAGCACATAAAAGGGAATAAATATTGGTAGCACAGGTGTAACTGAGCTATTTCGTACTTAATGCTTCAAAATATAGTTGTCCAATTGCTAAATGAATTTCCTTAAATATTAAATGTAATGAAAATTCCTAATAGAAGAAACATGAAATCCTCCTCAAGGCAAGAACATGTTAGTTGTTTTTACTGTGAGAAGTGCGCCCTCTAGTGTTCAAATGTGTGTTACACAAAAGCCTTTGGTCCAGAAACCCGGATCAGGATAAGTGCTTATTTTAGAAGGTGGATGGAGGGATGGATAGATGGATGAATGGATGAATGGATGAATGAAAACTGTGACTGTCACTATCAAAACTGAGGCTACCCCACCAGCAGTAAATGAACACTCATGTATGTGTAAATAGTGTAAATTAATATATGCATTCTTTTTATTTATTTATCTTTTTTTGTAAGTATTAAATGTCATAACCGTGTAATGTTGACCATGTAATATGTGTTTTGTTAGCATGTAAGCTAAATGAATGAAAATGGAAAGGAACTGATGAATCGACTGAGTGATCAAGATGATTTAATTAAAAGACTCATTTAAAAAGAATGAACTGTTAATGAATGGCTCATGTCCTTTCACTTACTAATTGGCCAGGCTTTAGAATGGTGATCTATGTGATTTTGAATCTTGTGTGACAGATGGTGCCAGACGTGGTCAGATAAAATTGCCAATTAGTGTTTACACAGAATGATAGAATTCCAGCAGATTCAAGAATAGATATTTATCAGGCCCAGATCAATAACGAAAAATAAGTACAACATAAGAGAAACAGCTCAACTTATGTAGGCCTATATGTTACAGTAGAAGTACTTATTTTGAATACAGTTCATTAGGTACAGCACAACTGGTGGACTAACATATCACACGTAAAAAATGTGTGTTAATAATAATAATAGATATTTATCAGGGTCAGATCACTAACCAAAATGGTTTAATAAGTATAAAATAAGAGAAATAACTATTGTTGCTGTTGTTGGTATTAATAATAATAATGATTTCTGCAGTGGGCAACATGGTGGTGCAGTGGTTAGCACTGTTGCTTCACACCACTGGGACCTGGGTTCAAGTCCCTGCCTGGGTTACATGTGTGCAGAATTTGCATGTTCTCCCTGTGTCGTCATGGGGTTTCCTCTGGGTACTCCAGTTTCCCCCCACAGTCCAAAGACATGCTGAGGCTAACTGGAGTTACTAAATTGCCTGTAGGTGTGAGTGAATGGTGTGTGAGTGTGCCCTGCAATGGGCTGGCCCCCTGTCCATGGTTGTTCCCTGCCTCATGCCCATTACTTCCAGACCCCGTGACCCAGTAGGACAAGCAGGTTGGAAAATGGATGGATGGATTTCAGCAGTAATGTCTCTATTTAGGCATTTTTCACTAAATATTCTGAATGAAGTTTGATGCCATGGGTTGCATCTTAACAACGGACATCATGAAGTAAAGTAGTCAAGTAATTAACATTAAATTTAAAAATGGTGTTTGACTTAAGGATTTTTTAAGTCACATTTTCCTCCTGCCACTGGTAAATAGCAATTAGCAATAAATGCCATTTAAAATTTAATAAATATCCAACTGCATGGTGCATTTACTAAGTATGACACTTACCTGTCAGTTTGTTGTGGCTGAGTGCAAGTTGGGTTATATGCGACAAGTTGACTGTAAGGCAGAAGGGCAGGAAAAAATATCAGATGCCTATATTTTCATTTGGCAGTCAATTACACTTGTCATTTGCATAGATGTTACATCTCAAGATTTACTGTAGCTAGTTTGATGTATGCATGCGTAGAGAAAAGCAATCTGCTATTTAAACTTCCTAATACAAATACTGAAAGTGTCGCTCCGACTAAAAATTTGGTCTTGTGCTGGCTGTACTGTCCTCCATGATTCAAAGAATTTATATACACAACCAAACATCACACACAGTACGAAGCAAGCACTAAAGCAGCTCAGAATTAACATTATAATACAGCAACAGGATTTGGGTTACTTACAAAGTCCCGGTACGTGCCATAAATCATATATGTTTCCATCACACAAATCTACATGAAGCAAATTCTTCTTCCTGCTTTCCACAACAATGTTCCTGATCGATTTAGATGTCTTCTGTAACGGTGGTAATAGAGTTTAAGAGAGAAAAAAAAATAGATTGCATTTTTTTTCGTACTTTTAGAAAACATATAGCAAACAAAAAGAAGAATGTTTCTAAATGTATACTGACTGTTAGTAGGGAGAGTGGGACTAGTTGCCACATGGGTGACATAGCTATTTATGAAAAGGAATAACACATTATAACCATGTTTATTATGCATTATGAATGCTTTATGAAGCTCTCATCTGTAATGCACTATAGATACAGCATCAGTCAAAAGTTTTTTTTCCATTTATTTCATAAACTTCAGATTTTTATTATTGGAAAGTTGGTTGAATAAGTATAAATTAAAAAGTTAACTCTTTCATCCCAGAGCAGTACTTAATGTCCCTTGTACAAAGAATGCCCAACATTCTCTATGCTGTTATAACTGCTAGAGGAGGTTACTCTGATGAATCAAAGATATGACATTTTCTTGACAAAAAAGGTACGCAAATGGTGAATATACTGTAAATTTATTTGGTAGCAAAGAATACTGAGTATATTTTTAGTCAATGTTAACTGAGAAACATGCAAATGTGGAAAATCTCAGTGTACCTTCATAATGCATTATAATGGTCAGTATAAGCCATAAGCCTTCATAATGCATCATCAATGTCTCTATGTCTCGCATGTTGCCGGAACTCTCTTTCATTTAAACAGTGCCTGCACATTGTGTTAATGACAATGAATTGAATCGAGTGTGACATCTTACCCACTGAAGAGACAAGCTGACGCAAGTGCATTCTAGCCTTTTAACTTTGTTCTGAAGTAAGATATGAAAATGTAATGGATAAAAAATACTTCCTACATTTGTTATGTCAATGTGATGTATTGATTATATTATTTTGCTAAAACAAGACACTGCAAGTGGATTCCTTACATGCATATACAGTACGTATGAACGGCAGTGTGATCCAGACTTGCTGCATAAATCACCTAAATGAACTTTACACCAAAATGGTGCATGTTGTCTTTCTGTACATAATACTGTATATCCCCTAAATGAACTTTACACCGCAATGGTGCATGTTGTCTTTCTGTACATAATATATCCCCTAAATGAACTTTATACCAAAATGGTGCGTGTTGTCTTTCTGTACATAATATATCCCCTAAATGAACTTTATACCAAAATGGTGCGTGTTGTCTTTCTGTGTACATAATATATCCCCTAAATGAACTTTACAACAAAATGGTACATGTTGTTTTTCTGTACATAATATTAAGGACTCAATATAATGCAAGGATGACAGTTCTTATTTTATCACAAGAAGGTAGCAGAAGTTATATTATTAATATGTAAATATGCATTTGAACCAGTGGGAAGATCAGGCAGTGATTCGGTTGTGGAAAGAGAGCTTGCTGACCATTATAGTGGAGAATTCATAGTTGGAGGGCTAATAATATATCAGTTAAAGAAAAACCTGCATAATAAATCAATTCTTGAAATTACATGTATAACAAAAACATAATGAACTGGTGATGAGGAATTAATGTTTTAGTTTTCTAACAATTGGTAGTTATTGTGCAGTTTAGATGAATAGTGGAATATGATGGGCATGAAGATTTAGAATCTTATTTGGAGCGAGTGAATCTTTGGATGTCCATGATTAACACTGAAGAGGAAGGAGCGCACTTCACTTTTTTTTTTTTTTTTTAAATCTCTCCCTTCCGGCTAAGAAAGAGAAGCACATGTTGCAATCCCACACTTGACCAAAACTTTGACTGGTGTATCAAGTAGCGGCGGATTCCTCATTCAGTTACGGGACGTTCGGCCGCTGCATTATTTTTAAAAAGTGAAAATCATGCCAGACGGATACAGATGAAACCAGATCAGATCTGGCTGAGCCACTGGACACCAGGCAAACTGAACAGAAAAAGGTCCCCAGAGCTACAGATGTGAGAAAAGGCTTGTTATTGTTAATAGAGTTTGTAGCTTCTCTAAAGACATGAACATCATGTATTAATTTTTCTGCATTTAAGTAAGTTATTGTAGTTATATAATAATAATAATAATAATAATGTATAATAATGTAACTCTCCTGCCCCACCTGGAATAATATCACAAATCATATGTTTCACTTTAGTTTTGCAATACATACTCAGAAAACCACCAAATGAAAAAAACAGCCATAGATGATTATGCAAATACTGTACAAAGAAAAGCTAATACACAGAAATAATGATAAAGCGAAGTTAGTATTTCAGGTTTAGTATGTCTTGTTTTCACATTTTGCAATAAACATTAGCCAGGAGCTAATGACACCTCATCAAAGTCGTGGCATCGCATCAAGGGATTATGGTTATATTGTTGCAAACAATATTGGCAGCCCTTACCTTCTGCGGGTAACACATTCTCCAGGTCCAATTCCCCATAACTGTGTTTGTATTTGAATTTGCTGAATCAGGGTGAAGGACGACTAACACTGTCCACTAAGGGCGGTGAACCCTCACTCTCCCCGTTAACAGCCCCCACCCCACCGAAAATGCCTTGTCTGTTTCTCTCATCCCATTAGATCAGAGCAACACTGGAGCCTATTTATAGGCTGATTATATTTGGTAGCAGTTACCAGGTGCTTTAGGCATAGTGAAGTGGTGCTTTACTAAAAGTTACACACTCCCCAGGCAAGCTTACGTCATTTACATAAACATTAATCCTGTTGCCCTTCTGTTCTCTTTGGGCTGCTATAATGGAAACCGTGATGCACCAACTAATCAACCAACCAAATATTTTTGGATAGAATCAGTCTTACACTACAATGCTTTTGTGTGACGGAGCATGTGAAAATGCTTCGCTTCATTAGCTTAAATCCCTTGTAAGAAAATAGTGTTTGTCAATCCATCCTCCAACTGCTTATTTGGCATTGGGTTGGGCCAGGAGACTATGCAGGCAACACAAGACACGAGGCAGCGATCCCAGTCCACACACAGATTCCTATAGAGTTACACACAGTGCATCACTTAGAGATGCCAGCTAGCCTAAGTATTTCTTAGGACTGTGTGAGGAAACTACAGGACCTTCGAAAAAACTGACACAAACACAGGGAAAGTCTGAAATCTCCACAGGACACATCCATAAACCTTTCTACAAATTTACATACAATTCCATACATACCTTCTGGAACTGGAACCAGTGGACAGATGGAAGGTGGAATCAGAACATTTTTGACCATCTTCTAGAACAGGGGTGTCAAATTAATTTAACAGGCCACGTTGGACCGAATTCAAAGTGAGATCTATGTGCAGTAGACTAACAACACATTAAATCCACCTTCAATGTCTAATCATCAAATCCCTTTCAATGCTTTTGATTCAAATCAAAACATGATTACCAGTGGCTAAATATTATATTATGCAGACGGGCCACATGGAATGAGGCAGAAGGCTGTGTTCGGGGCATGAGCCTTGAGTTTGACACCTGAGTTCTTGAAAGAGGAAAGCTGCAATCGAAATTCTGTATGCCGGAATCTTCAAATAAATACTCGCCTCAAAATTCTGATTTACATTCCTTTTTTTCCAATTTTATCATGAACGCTTTTTATTCATTACTATGTATACAGGTAAATGGGTGCGGTCCTGTGTGTTTATATGCAGGTCTTGCTGCATGTGCAAAATTTGTTAGAGATTTTTAAAAGAAATGCAATTTTTGAAATGACTTTAGATTTGTGAGCTTAGTAATCTAGTAGCTTGCAAAGTGCACAAGGCTTTATATGTTCGATTCTTTATGCAAATCCACAACCTCTGTATAAATGTTACAGTAGCTAACATTTTTGTATTAGTTGTAGCAACAATTTTGAATAATCTAATATCAGTGTTAAAATGTAGGCTTAGAAACAAACTACCCAGTGTTCATTTGCATATTCACATTTCAGACATATATTCTTTATGTCGTTCAAATTTTGCCATTGGCAGTTGACGCAAGTTCAGCAATCTTGGCATTGAGTTTCTCGTTGGTCCAGTCCTTTGTGATGTCATCTAGATGAGTGTCAAAATCCACCAGTAATGTATGATCCCTGGCATCCAGTAACTGATTGGCTATCGAACGAGTCTCCTCCCACTGACGCAACATGATCCTTTGAGAGAGAAAGGGGAATTAATACGGTAAAATGAATTGTGCCAGATGAAATGCAAGACACAACTGAAAGCTCACCACCTAAATAATGCTTTTATTCTGCTGATTAAACTTATCCTGAGGTAAGTCAACACACAAGTTAGACAGTGAGATTTCTGCATGCCGCATAAACACAGAGAGGTATTTTGGTTATACAGCTGAATATGCTCTAGAAGAAAATACACAGTATTACTTAAGAACTAGTTTATTTTCTAGCCTAAGATCAGAAGCATTACAGCTAACACATCACACTACCTCACTGCCATTACTTCATCACTTTCACATCTGACGTCTACACAAGCTAGGCTACTTACGTCTGCTTGTCTTTTAGCGTCCACCTCGAATCTCTGCGTTCGTACATCACGATGGGAGGAACTCGACATTCCACTGACATCTTGGCATTGTCCATCTGGAAAAAAAGAACCACACAGAACCAGTTGAAAGGTATCCCTATCTGCCATCTAAACAATCGCAATGCTGCATAGTGGTACACAGTCCTTTCAATTCAGGGCCCTGTTTATTGTTTATTAATGCTAATAAACAATACGTATGCTGGAAGATTCCATTCTCAGACTCAGCCATCACTTATGGATTTCATGTGGCATAATGATATAATTAACGTCTTCGGAACAACTATTTAATTCACAAAGTGTCACGGTGTTCACACAAAAATGGCAAATACTCAGCATACAGATTAGTTTCAGACCCATTTAAAATTACCAGTTTTTCCTAAACCTGACCAGAAAAATGAAGTTAGAAGATGAATGGATGTTTTCTTTTCTTTGCATTCTTGTTCCTGCACTATACAGTGCCATGAAAATGTTTTTAATTTTCTAATTTTTAAGAAACACCACAAAAACTGATACTCGTTTAAATTATTCACAACTATGCATCAGCAAATTGCCCTGTGTGAATAAGCAATTACTGGCTGCTCCAGCATTAGCAGCAATGACTGCAGATAAATCCAAACCAGGATTTCGTTTCAACCAACCAGTTGAGCATAAAGAGTCACAGTCACAGAGTACTCAACTGGTTGGTTGACATGAAATCCTGGTTGGGATTTTTACTTTCTGGACCTGAACCAGTCTCAAAAAATGTAGGACACGCAGCAGGAGACACCATAGATAGGATGCCAGTTCATCAAAGGATACACACTCACACACATTTAGAGATACCAATTACCGATCCTGCAAGTGTCTGGGAATTAAAAGAGGACTAAAAGTGGAAACTGGAGTACCTGCACAAATACACAAAAAACTACATATTCCATACATCTAAAGCTGAGGGCAGGAACCGTACACGCCATAAGAGCCTTAGTTGTTACAATGTGTTATTAAGGATCACACTTCCTCCTAAAACACGATAATGCAGAGGAGACTGTGCCCCATGACTGAACCTAGGATTAAGGAGCAATGGGGATTCCAGTCTGGCTACGGAAAAGTGGACCTTGTTTTTCCATTGGTTTTTGTCTGCCGGATCTCATTGCGCAAGGCTGGCCACATGAGACTAACAGGGGTTAAAGCCTCACGCATACATGGGATAAGGCCATAGACTGCAAAAGGCACATTTTAAAAAAATCGATATCAGGATTTTATGAATTGACGTCAGATTATGCAAATGAAGATCAATTTCAATCAGAAAATATATTATTTTTTAAACCCAGCCCTAACAGTCATCTATTTTGTACACTCTTCCCTTTACTCCATTAGTAATAGTTTTCACTCCGTTACTTCTATAAAATGAAAATCGAAAAGTATCTTGGCCCCATATTTCTGTGTAACTTAAACTTGGCAATAGTGCGTGTGGTCAGCCAATCAGCAAGTTCTCACCCTGAGCCCCATCCCAGTTGTTTGTGCTCTAACTAAATGTAATTAGTCAGGAACTGCCTCCAGGAACTACAATCTGGCCTAGTTCCTGCAGTGGTAACAGTACAGACGTTCCTAGTTCTGAAGGAG